TTGTTGGAACCTTTGAGATTCAGCAGAACATACTCTGAGTGGTGCAACCGGTCCATCTTCATGGCTTTGCAAACCAGAATTCAGAGAGTCCAGGATCATCGCAGGTGCTTCCACTGCTCAGTGTTCTTTATCATATGGGACTGGCGCAGTGAGTCCGGAGACGTGTCGCAGTGGTCGGATTTGGAAGGTTAATGTTCAAGGGTTTCTGTTTCTTCGGATGAAGGAATACTTAAGGTAGACGGAATACCATTGTGAGTGACAGCTGCGTCGTTATGGGCATCCTTTTCGGCTGAGTGCATTCGGGATGGAACCTGTGTCTGATCGTTCTGGGGGGTCATAGTCATTCGCTGACAGTGGTAACCAAATTGGTCCGGAAATCGGTCTGGTGAACAAACTCCGTTCCCTCATCTTATAGAAGGTGAAGTTATCAGGGACGTTATGGAGCAGCTTTGTAGATATTTCGCCCACTATTTGGGAATAGACATTATTATTACTATTGTGCAACGGTCAGTGAATATCCGGGGAAGTTCAAGAGGATGCGTAGGCATGTCCCGTTTTTTAAAACCATGTGCATGTGAAATCTTTACTTTTGGCTTGCAACCGTTCGGTCCGGGTTTCCTGAAAAACGAATTCGCGGCGAAGGTCTCCCTTCCTCTTGGCGGTCTAACTAGATTCAGGACAGACAGCAGCCGCATCACACGACCCCTGTTACAGGATTCACGGAATGATACACAGGATCGAGGCTATTACCCAATTTTCCGAGGTCGCTTTTGTTCTTGTCGGTCAGTGGCTGTCGTTCACCTGAAAGGCACAAGTGAAAAAGGGTGTAGCACTGCTCTTTATGTTCTCAACACGGGACAGCATGCTCTCCAGCGCAAGGATTCGCATAAATAAGTGTCTGATAGTGCTTTAAACTGGGTTCTGAAAGGAGTTTGAACGACCGTCGGAGGAAGGTCATTCCACTCACCTACTACCCGAAATGAGAAATATTTTGTCCAATGAATGTGTGTGCTCTGAGCTTGAAAATTTTCTTACTGTGTCCCCGCCTTGTGTTTGCTGGTTCAACGGTAAAAAACCTGTTTGCTAAGCTTTGTTTAAACAGGGCGTGAGCAAGAATTAGGTCCTCTCGGAGGCGATGGTACTCCAGTTCGCCCAGGTTCTAAGTCCGAACGCCTTGTCGCATGAATTGATTTGACTTCCATGCAAAATGCTGGTAACGGGTAATCGAAAATGAAGCTGCGTCTGATCCCACACTAGAAAGCGTGATCGCGTTTGGTGACTGATTCACTGTGGCTAGGTCGTATGTGCACACAGGTATAGGTTATATTGCACCAGAATCACGGACCACAGGAGTGTTTATTGCGGTATCATGTTAAGAGGGCGGTGAAAAGTACGGAACGGAGATTCCAGCGTTGTTTGTGGTGTTTTTGGAATAAAAAAACCACTCAGCTGATATTCCAATGCACTTTGAAAGAAGTTTCCACGGTTCAACCAGCAAGGTTGATCTTGTGGATATGTCTGGCGGTCGCCAGCTGTAAAGCGGTCAACTCTGGGTAATTTTCATCAGAAATTATTTTTGAAGTGACCACTAAATTTGACAATAATTTCGTCAGCATAGGTACTTATACAGAAAAGCAACTTAAATGGAGTTGAACCGGTCAAAAGAAACGAAGTGGACAACTGTCGAAGGAGGTTTATTCCATCCATCAACTGCCAAAAACAGTAAAAAAATCCCGTATCATAAAGCGCTCGCTTCACATTTGTAAGTCATCTCTCCACGCCCATGCCATGTGAAAGCAAATCAAGCGGCAAAAATACTCTCGGTGAGCCTTTGTTTAAGCAAAGCGTATATAAGAGTTAGGTCTTCGGGGGCAGCAGTCGTCAAGTGAATAGAGATAAAGAACCCACAGACTCGTCCAATATTATATGTATTTGAAAATAATAACCATTGTCTTAGCAACTTCTTGGGGACACTCTTGAGGGTTGCGTCCTTTTATATACGCTGTAAATAGCTTGGTTAGTGTGCTGTAGGATTGCAGAAATATCTGGAGGTAAATACAAATAATCCAGGAGAAACTGTGCAAAATCTTCCGAGAAGATGGACGGCTTTTTGGTCCGAGTTTTGTGATGGAGTGAAAAAGCCTGCTTCAAGATGGTCAGACACCTGTTGCGATGCTTTTGAAAAGTTGAAATTTATGGTTTCCAAAAAAATACCTTCATCTTTGGATCGTGGTAAGCCATGTATAAATAGCAGTTTATTCTATACACTAGGACGTTTCGCTAGGTAACCATGTTGCGCCGACGATATCAAGTCGTCAGCCGTGAGATGACTTGAAGTATTCCGCTTTAGAACACGTCCCATAACCTTGCACGGCATGCTTGTGGAACTTTTAGGACTGTGGCTGCCCTGGGATAATGGTTTTCGGATTCTAGATGGGTGTGGCAGTCACTTACTACTGAGCAGAAGGAAGGCTTCCGCCATTAAGCGACTGACGGAAGGTCATGAAGAAATGTTTTGCAAGGTGAACCGTGTTTCCTTCAGGATTCCTGGATGGACTTCCTCTGGCTCCAGAGTGACGAAAGGGTTTGTCTTGTGCAAGTTTACTTATATCAGCCTCCGTGAAAACCATGGCGGGTCGGGGCCGTCCGTAGTTGCGTCCTGCTACGCTTGGTCGCGATGAGATCTCTATGCAGAACACAGTATTATCGGAAAGCTTTAGATACCACCATTGCGTTACTCTTAATTCCCCTGGCGGTATTTCACGTACTTTTATTTCTTGGACGTGGCTTAGTATCGCGGTCCGTCTTTGTAAGTTACGTTGGCGGATTCTAAATTTACTGTGGTTTAGCACCTTCCAAATGCAGAGTTGTCTTCAAATTTTCTTGTGGTTGTCATTTTGCAGAACCGTTTAGACCTCATTTGCTTTTTGGTCGCTCCCGGCTTAGTCAACTGTGAGATGGTTACTTTGGAAGGAATACCGCGTCAATTCTGTAAATTTTCTGGAAAGAACTCCCGCATATTTCCTCCGCTGAAACTGGGCCCAGTTTAATCTTACCAGAAAATATCAGCATTCCTGTGTGGCATAAGGTTCTATCCCGCGTTTTCGACCCAAGGTTTCCTACCCGGTAGCAACTGGAACTAAATATCAGTGCACAGTGTTCACTATGTCCCGGGAAAGACTTCAACATCACTTGACAAACGAAGTGTCTTGCCTTGATGATAACGAAATCCGGCAATGTTGCCAGTTGGCATCGACACCATGGGTCCGAGAGCTCTAATTAGCGACCTCACTGGGCACTGAAACAAAATGTCTACTAGGCCCGATGCGCTGGAACTAAATGTAGGGGGCCTTATAAAGATTGAGGTTATCTGGCAGCAAAGAGTCGTAAGTAGCCGGAAGAACATGCCGTTTTCCGGCGGGTAGGAGGGACATCGGGAGGTGATGTTGAGAAACAGTCTCACGCAGCAGAATTGGAATCCATTGGGCATCACAAAAGAGTCAGTGATGTGGCTGGAGAAGACCTGGGTAGGACAGGGATGTATTGAGGCATAAGTCAACCAAACCTGGCTTTCCTTGTCCTAAGTTAGTCGCAAAATGGAGTGACCGACTATCGAGATTTCAGCATCAGAGTAACCTGGCATGAGCCTGATCTCTGTGAATATGATTATGGACGGTGCATCCAGGCAAGCTGACTGCCGAATATCGGGACGTTTGAAAAGTCTGGGGCAGTTTTTGGACAAGTATTCCTGCCGCATCCGAAGGTGAGAGCAGAGAGTTGCTGTTCAACCGTAGAGGTTGGCAGATTTAATAATTCCAGGCCAGCTTTTGATTCCAAAACTTTCAATGGCCTCTGCAACGTACCAGTCCGTCTTCCGTCTTGTTGCTTTTGTAGTGGTCTGGTTACGCAATGAGTTACTTTACCAGGGGTGTGTGGCAAATAAATAAAAACAACTCTGGATTGAAAATACACTAATGAGGCAAGATGGAGCAGACTTACTAATAATTATTCTCTCTAAAATAGTTCGTCGTTGGTCTAAGTCAGCGAATAAGCGATGATCCGATCATGGTTGTCCAGGGGTCTTCTGAACAGTTCCCACATACAATAGATTCCGAATACGTTATGAAATGTTTTAATACCAGAGTTAACACTTGAGTCTCGCGAATGACAACTGTAAGTGTGAGCGAACTCAGAAGAAAGAGTTGGAGTGAACGACTACGTTTGTATTGCGTGAAATTGTACAAGTGCGCGTTTTATTGTAGTTTTTCGTACTCAAACAAAAAAGGGTTATGCAGTTGACAAAATACGTAATGTTATAATGGAAGTGAGATAAAGGTACAAACAGCACATTTTCAATGCTCCCTGTTTATCTGTGGGTGTCCTTCCTCACGATATGGTTAATAGCTATCTCTTGTATCGAGAGATACATGTCTTTCACCTTGGTCTAAAATTTCAAAGCTTTTTACTTGTAGGACCTCCAATGCCTTATTTTGGACACCCGTGTTTGCCGTTGTGCATAAATTTGCGGTGAACATACTTTTGTTCAGTTCCATGGGCCTTTGGTCGGAATTTGGTCGTCAAAGTGTTTCTCTGCCCCCTACAGGGTTGCTTGGTCCTTTGACTAGGCAACCAGAGGGTACTTTTTTGGTGGAAATGTGAAGAGGCTCGTCGTTGTAGATGACTTCATCTTGAATTCAGCAAGCAGTCTTCCGATTTGACGAGGATCACGTGGCTTATTCGACGGCGGTCGCTTCTGTCTGGTATTCGTACAGATTCTCACTTCGCCCGTGATCAACGTGGTCAATGCGGTGTATTCAGGACTTTCTAGCACAGCCCTCACAGCCACGAGCGGATTCGCAATAAGACTGGCCGCTTTTGACGGAGTGGAACTGCTTACTTGCAGCTTGACGTTTTCAGAGTACCATCTCGCAATTATCACCCATGTCGGCTACTCCCTGGTTTACTGACCAGTGGTTATGGGACATTTGTAGTGTTCCCTCATGTCACAGTCAAAGTCTCTCGCTGATCTGTCAATGGGCGTCGCTACACGTTTCCGCAAGGCTAGTCCAGTCCAACTTGGAGCTTTTGATTTGGGTAGAAAGTCCGCCGCTGGGCTTTCATCGTACACTAAGAAAATCGATGGCTATGATTCCACGTATGTGGGATGTTCTGCATCCTTGAAGCTTGTCCCAACGCCAGCATCACCATCACTAGTCAGTATGTCTACCAAGGTTGGGTAGGAGCTAAAACCTGAAAAAGCGATCGGTTGGCTGAGTATGCTGGGTCTGATAAGTGCTGGGTCCTGTTATGCAAAAGCTAGGAGGTAAATTACACCAAAGCAGCAGGAATTTGCAAGTCACACTAACTGATTTCANGGCAATTGCAGTCTTACTCGGTGAAGTGTGATAACGGCTTCCAACGTCGCAAGTTCGGCAAGCTAAGTAAGACTCTTTTGCGATCAGAGTACACCAGTTCATGGTGCGTTTCAGGTAAATTTTTGAGTCGACGCTGCATTTGAACGATTCACTTGATTGAACTTATTCTTTCGACAGGTAGACTATGGAGCAATGGACAAGGAGTGAGATGTCTCATGAAATATGTTACAATATTTTGACAATTCTTTGATGGCAACTCCGACCAAACGGTCGTTCTACTTTTACCCGTGCAGCCGACACAGCGAAAGATCTTTCTTCTGAGCAAATATATATATATATATATATATCCACACAATCAGGCATTTGGACAGACAATCCACTATCGTGTTAGGTGAGCACTCATTTCCAAGCAAGGCAGGCCTAATCCGCACAGGAAGTTTAACCGATTTTGTATGGAGATGCGCGTTTAGGAAACTGGCGGTTCAAATGATTCAACTTCAGTGTACGGACACGAATTTTGCCGCGGTAGATTAAGGAGACCTTTTTATTAACGGTATCAGGGGTTGGTGTTAATCGTTGTTAACGACATTGATTTGCATGTAGGGAGGCGAATTTATTGTTGCAAAGCATCTGTCATTCGAAAGAGAATTGCGCACAAAATCCGAAATCCCGCAAAGCCCATAGAAAAATGTTTAGACCGCCCCGAATTGTTAAACCACCCAATATGGGGCAAACCAATGTTTACAGTACGCATTTATGATAACTTGCTCCGTTCACGGGTTCGGTTAATTTGCTAAAATTATTTTATTCAGTAATCAAGTTGATGAATTGATTCACCCAAATGACGGGCTGCGTAGCGACCAAAGCTCATCAGGTTCAAAGGTTTTTATGCGGATTCAAACAATTTTTGTGAGAAATGTGCAAATTAAACTTTGTGATAAACTGCGTTTATTATTCACCATCTGATTTGGGAGGTTCATAGGAGCCTAAAGATTGGAACATATGATTGATGAATAAATTGCCGGTTGAATACCCGCATATTTCGTTAGTTTTCAACACTCAAGCAGTATAGTGGCTTCGTGGAAGCTATCTGAAAATTGAAAATTTGTTCTTTACATTTTCCTAAGCGGAGTAGAGAGTTCTTCCAAGCAAAGTTGGTGATATGCATTGATTAGAGTTTTATGCCGAAAACAAAAAATCGCAAACGACCGACTGGGTGACGAATAGAAACAAGCCTAGTCTCTTCAGTTTCAAGGGGTTGATTGCGGATTGTGACAATTTTAAGCGTAATTTACTCATAAGGATATCGCCCATGTGCGCGGCACACGGTTTGTGCATTGTGTAAGACTCTTTTGCGATCAGAGTACACCAGTTCATGGTGCGTTTCAGGTAAATTTTTGAGTCGACGCTGCATTTGAACGATTCACTTGATTGAACTTATTCTTTCGACAGGTAGACTATGGAGCAATGGACAAGGAGTGAGATGTCTCATGAAATATGTTACAATATTTTGACAATTCTTTGATGGCAACTCCGACCAAACGGTCGTTCTACTTTTACCCGTGCAGCCGACACAGCGAAAGATCTTTCTTCTGAGCATATATATATATATATATATATATATATATATATATATGGGAAGTTGAACCTTCCACACTCGCGTACAGTAACGACAACCACCATAGTAACTGAGTAACTTCAGTTTCCCTATCAACAGTATCGCTTCTGAAGGTCTGGATAACAAATCAGGCAAGGTCCGAACGTCATTTGGCTTCGCTTATACGTTTTCTCTACGTGTCATATACTAAGTTGGGTTTTCTCAATGGCTATCAGTTTTGCTGCCAGTCAATCCTAGGTTGCCAAAGTTTTCAGCAACCTTATCAGTAGTGTTTTAATTAAATGCAAGTAATTTAATATGATTTGTGGGACTGCAAGTGATCCTATCTTTCTAGGACGAGCGACTTCGTCTCATTGAAGGCAGCACTGAATGTTTTACCGGGTGAGTAGTTTCTGTTGAGTGCGCCATTACTGATAATTAAACATTACTCGCAACGCTTTTGGCTACAATTCTTCCTCGAGTCATTTTACCACATGTTTTAAGCTTCCTCCTTAATTAATTTTTTCCACAAAATTATTAATGGCTCCATTTTACAGAAATTTCACTGGTCAGTACCCATTGGAGCATCCCGTATTCGGTCATGTGGAGAAAAATTCCGAAACATAACATTGGAGATTACTTACAAAAAAGCGGTGAAATCGTTTGATAGGCAAATAAAGCTTACTTGGACATTGTTAGACTGATTTGTCTTGTGATCTACAATTCAGGATTACTTCATTTCGCCAAGGAGAATTTGCGAGTACTCTTCAGTAATTTTAAAGCTAATTGGAAATAAAGATTTACATCCCTCCAGTCAGTCTAAGCAGAGTTCTTCGCAAATAAGTTATTCTTCTAAGATGGCACCGCGCGAAATGACCAAGCCTTCTCCCTTTTTGAATGTTATTTCGGCTTTATTATTTCATGCACTAAGTTGGCGCCCAAAAGAACTTGGCAAGTTGGCTGTCTAGGGTTCCGTGAGTGAACTTCCAGAGCATGTATGTACGCTTTCCTCCATTCTTTACTCTCCGTGTAATCCTGTTCCTGAGCGTTTCCTACGAATATTCGAATTCTAGACTACTAGTATGTAAATTAAGTAGTTCGGTATATATCACAACACCATCTATGGAATTTAATTCCATGGTAGGGATTTCATAGAGAATTAAACGCACAGAAGTCTAACTATCACTTACAAAACATCAACAATATAGTTAGAAGGTTGCCCGACAGCTCGTTCTCAAGGATTCATGCAACAATATGCTTGGACTATCGGTCTCTGGCGCTGCATCAGATCATTTATGGATGCGCACAGGCTATGCTGTTGGTCAGAGTTCCAGTAATTTTGTCAATGATTCTGAGTTTAAACTCTGCCCCAGCCTTAGTTATCTGCTGTTTAATTTGTCTGTTGTTTCCTCTGGCACGACTGACAGTTTCAAAAACGAAGCCTTATTAGGTGGAAGTTGACTCCAGGGGCGAAAAATCAAACTATAGTAATATGTGGGTTCAAGTAACTTTGGTGATGGCCCCTCAATATTCGTATTAGCACGACCATTTACAGACCAGAGTGGACCAGAGCGAGGATGTGTAGGACACAACTGAAACCATAAAAGGCTAAGGTATTTCCTCGGTGAAAACGATACTGATCCGTAGATGTTCTGGACTTGGATCGATATTTTTTAAAAACCGGCTTGGCTGACCTGTCCAGCGGAGTGCGAACCGGTCGACACTGGAAATCCATCATACTTGTGAACTACACTCCTTCTGTAGTTAAAGTAATCAGGCAAGTCTCAAAGTTCTGAGGTGATCGCACCTCTAGGAATGTGACCATAGAGTCATATTACACCCGCAATTATTAAGCAAAGTTGTATGCGAAATGTGAGGTCGTTACCCAGTGGATCTTCACATGTTTAGCCGTATATTTCCGGAACAGAGTGGCTGGTTGCCGCGCCAAATATTTGTTAGCATTCGCAAAGTGTAACTGATAAAATAACGACTGTGGATAAACCATGCAAAATTCAGACTGCCTTGGCTTTCAACTGATGATTGGCATTAGACTCATGGGTTGGCAACTTGAAAGCTCCAACTTTATTTTTGGGATCCCCATACCAATAACAATTTCACAGTAATTCGGCTAAGGTGTAGACCGTTCACAGTGAAGCCAAATCATTGGTTTTCAGATTGCACACAGCTCAAAATTCTGTTCTCTGAATCTTCAACCATGCATCGATAGTGCGACTCATAAGCAGAAAGGCGCTGTTGTGCCCGTATGATGAACGTTCGTTACATGCCTTATTCTCAACCTATCGGTCAGCTTGTCGGGGACCTCTGTGGCATGACAAAAATGCGGTGGGGTCTCTTTCAGTAGAGTGCTTTCTGACACACGTCACATTTCATATTATCCAAAGTTGATCACTATGGTCAGATAACGTTTGTTCAATCGATCGTATCACGTGACTGTGCTGTGTAATGAGGTTAGCAACTATAATTCGATGGTAAGCAAACAAACTGTGCGATATATTGAAGTTCATTGTTTGTCAGTCCAGAGCACTTTTATTCTCGCACACCTCACATCGGGTTACCAGCCCTATGACCCGTACTACACAGGGATGCAGAGAGACTTTTCAAGAAGACTAGATCAGTCAACTGGAAAAAGTTTGGAACCGATTGAGAAGTCATCGTTTCAGTAGGGTTTGATAAACAATCGGTAGTTTTTTTATTTGGACAAAGTTTCACTTTTGACACAAAAGCCTCATCAGACCAATTGAACAGACCACCAAGTCGGCTAGGTTTTAGGGCAAACTGCGAATCAATCAGTAAGAGCTACTCATAGTAGCGCACTAGATCAGTTTTGTATGTAAATCAGCGTCTCTTGTCGGTAAGTGTGGTTGCCAAAATTCTTCGTTGGTGGATTGGGGGAGTTTCAAATTAATTCTCATCGGGTTTGGTTCCTTAATCTTCCACTTCAGTGTGTTTCAATTGGTGATTCACTTCGAGTGCCACTGGTAAGCTTTCCCTGGTCTTTTTGAGCTTGTGAGTGCTGCAACAATTTAGTTGGGGGGGGGTGAGGTTAAGTGGAATTCTGATGACCACACACTAACACGTGTCACCTCAACTGATCCAAAACCGTTCTCCACACGCTTCCCAGTTCCACGCCTTCTATTCTGTCAACACTGGGATGCTTGGCGATATCGACTACCTCGGCTATCAATCTTTGTGAAGTGGACCCTTCTACCGCCTCGACTATCAGTCTCTGTGGCTTGGACTGTAGTCC